AACTTTATGTCAGGATAAGGAAAGGTGACTTGAAATCCTTTTGTTTTGTTTGTGATCTAAACTCTCAGCTTGGTGAAATTTTTAACGCCTGCATCTGGCCTTCAAGGGTATTGGGACCCATATCCCATAGATATGGAATTTCGACCACCTTGCATGGTGCTATCGACCATTGGGATCTCAAAGCCTGGAAAACTGGAGGGACAAAGCACCAGAGAGTGTGCAACTCACCTCCACCAACTTCATGTTTGCTTGCCTTCCTCGAGACACAAGACTAGGTTATTATACAGAATGTCACTGGATTTTGCTCCTGTGCTGAAGCATGTTCCTTTCATGCATTACCTATGGAGACATTTTGCTGAACAGGTACATAATTTTCCGTCGACCAGCTCTTATATTATGTTTATTTTTACTTTATGGATCATTAGGTTGAGCTTTGAACTCAAAAGCCACCAGCATGGCACCACCTGAAACTCTGAGCGGAGTATTCTGACTTGTATGAAACAGGTGTTGAATGAGGATCTACGCCTTGTCCTCGGCCAGCAAGAGCGAATGATCAACGGTGCCAATGTGTGGAATTGGCCAGTATCCTATGATAAACTAGGAGTAAGATATAGATTGTGGAGAGATGCTGTTGAAAAAGGAGTAAAGCAATTACCCTTCGAAAAATCAACTTAAAGATAACCAAACTCTTGAATGGAATTAACTACTCCGGTAATTGACACCCTCGTCCATCTGAACAGTCTAGCATTCGCTCGCAAATAAAGCCAAGCACCGGCAGACTGTAACGTGTGATTTGTCTTTTAGTCTCTCAAAGAAGAGTCATAAGAAACTCAGCGGAAACTGTTAATTGACCTGAGGCAGAGAAGAGATGATGGTGCTCTGTTCAACACAAAGAGCCCATGTAAAACCATGAGAAACTGTACACCACCATTATTGATTTTGTGTACAGTAAAATCTTTTTCCTTTTCTTTTTCTTTTTTTCTTTTGGATTCTCTTCCAGCCAATGAAGTCATCATCAAGATTTGTATCCAAACCCTAGAAAAAACACCAGTGTTTGATGATCTCTTACATTTGCGAGATGTAAATCTCTGTTTGTACGTACCATATAACATTACTGTTATTATTATTTTATCCAACGGAAGTGGTTTTTTTTTTTTTCCTGTCATTTCCTTCCTTTCTCTTTCCCCGAAATCATCAAGCACCTTCCATTCTGCAAATTACTTCTTTGTTGCAACATAAAACAAAATCAAACCAACATTGAACTATCAAGACAAATTACAGCCAGCAACTTTCAGTCCACAAATAAAAATAATTTGTAAAAGCAAGATTCTGAACCCGCAATTTTAGTATGGAGAAGAACCACAAAAAAAAAAAATATTAGTTCATAATTACCATTAAATATGATGATACAATCCGGGCAACGAAAAAATAATTAGATTTGGATTCTGACATAAAATATGTAATTATCCAGTTTTATAACAATAGTTATAATTCTCAATCTGATCGTTGGATCGAGCTAAAATTTTACATAGAATTTCTTGACATGTTATACTGCTTTAGGTTAAATTCAAGTCAATCAAAATTTAAAAAGGCACTACAATACTGATAAATAGAGACTGTATGAATTTTTTTATTTTTATTTTTTTGACTTGTGGACTTTCTATTTGGCTAAGATTTTTTTTCTAAAAGGATATGACAGCTTATTTTGAGAATATTCTAGTTCTACAAAGATCTTTAATGAGATGCAATATAGTTTTCAAATATGATAAGAATTCATAAATGTTTCAGAATCATTATCTTACAAGGATTCCTTATTCATCCTAGCTATAACAAGAAAAGAAGACTTTATAATTAATTCTATTTTCATATCAGATTTTCTAGTTTATTTGGGATTTCTTAACGGTTACAAATCTAATTCTAGCATATTTAGGATAATAATTTTTTTATTTTTATTATTTTCTTTTTAGCTTTGGGTTATTATTACTTAATTGGGTTAATTGTAAATGAGTCTCATATAAGTCTACCTAAAAGGGGGTTATTTAAGTTTAGAGTTAGGATAAAAGGCATAACCAGACATATAAGTAGAGAATTCAAATTAATAAAAAAATTTGTTTGTTACACTTTGTGTGTGTGCCTGTGTGCTAGTAAGATAATCTCTCTTTCATGGTTCTCTAAAGAACTGAAAATGATTTATCAAAAAACAACTGGCTTTGTGGCGTCATTCTATACCTCTCGTTTGTAAATCAATATTCGTTGAATGGAGATTTTCATTTTCAATAGTGATGGTGCTTAAATACAAGTTATCTTTGTGTCACATTCCTATCAAACCTGATTTACTTGATTTTTTAGGAATTAATATCTTTATATTATAGGTTTTTTATTTTCAATAGTGCTAGTGCCTAGATACAAGTTATTTTTGTATCACACTCCTATCAAATCTGATTTACTTGGCTTTTCAGGAATTAATGTCTTTACATGTGGGTTATCATTATTAAATATGAGATCATAGATACATAGACAAACAATTGAGATCTTACCTCAAAAAAGTATATTCAGGGGGCACTTCTTTTGATTTCTTTCATAAAATAAAACTTTAAGGGATTGTACAGACTTAAGAAACTTTTTTATATTCATATAACATTTGTTTTACTTTGTACACCTCCTATGTGCATAATGAGGATGTTGTTCAATAAATACTTTTTCACTTAATTCATCATGATATAAAGTTGAGTTTACGTTTAACTAATAATTTCTCCACTCTTTCAGGTTACAAGTGAAATCATTATTTCAGTTATATTTAATTGAGTTACAAATACAAATATTTTTGCGTAATCCACTTTATATTTTTGAGTGTATCCTTTTTATATCAACCAAGAGTATTTATCTACTCTTCTCCATTCCTATTAAGCTTTGTTTTATAAATTGATTTCACCCCAATCTTCTCTCCTCTACCCTAATCTTCTCTTCTTTGGTGGGTAACTTTATCAACTCCTATATAATATTTCTGTCTTTAGCTTCTATCTCTAAATCCATTTCCTTTGTCCACTCGATATTGTCATAACCAAACCCCTTGTGTTTGAACTTTTTTTCTTAAATATCTTTTTGATGCAATTTGATTAAATTTTTAAACATTACATTTGATTCATGATTCTAATACTTTTGCATATTATATTTAATGTAGAGCTTTTAGAAATATAAAAAACAAAAGAGAAAAGAGAAAAAAAAATGATGAGCGAAGGAAAAGGTAAAAAACGAAGCAAATAAAAATTGATGAAAATAAAAGAAGACAAAAAAGAGAAGAAATAAGAAGAAGAAAAAAGGAGTGAGAAAAAACAAATGAGTCATGAAAAATGAAAAATAAAAGTAGGTAAGCAAAAAGGGAAAGA